AAGTACTCAGAATTTTTCAATAATAGTGCCTAAATATCCATTGAAAATAGTCTTGCAATCTCAAGCAACCTTTCAATGATGTCCTTCACTCCGAGTTTTCTCTCTCTTCTATCCCATTGACGTTAAGGTCGTGACAAAACATGTGCTTCATTACTGTGTTGAAAAAAAAAATTGTTTTTTCTCGCGTTTACATACATCTTTAAAACAAATCATTTTCGGTCTATTGAATTAGCATGAAATGCTCCATCCAAATATTTGTATCAATTATGGCATTTATTGGAAAGAATTGAAAATATTATAACAAAAATCAAGCTCATAAATTTGATAATGAGTTAAGACGATCCATTATCACTTTTTCACGAGTATCGAAACAAGTGTTTCATCACAACATGCGGGAAGTCTATACGGAGAAAATAAAATAGTAAAGATTACTATGTTGGAATCTGCACATAGTAAACGTCACCAAAGTTCCGTAAGTATTACTGTGGATATGGTGATGGCTACCATAGAACATCATAATGGTTACTATGGGATGGTTACTATGTTTACACAGTAAAGCTTACTATGTTACATAGTAGGGCTCTTTATGTTAGGTAAGACGTCCTATAACACATAATGAAATTATTCTAAATATTTTAATACCATCAAGGAATGAAACAAGAGTAGATCAATGTGAGACACAGAAATATCATTAATTCAAGAATGAGAATTTTCTTGTTGTAAGAACCATCGAAACGAGAAATTATGGTTTTGAATGGAATAATGAATTTATTCAGAGAGCTCCTAATAAAGCCCGTTAAAATCTAAATTAAATTTTCAGTTGCATTTTTATTCATATCAAATGTGTAGTTTTAGAAATAGAAACAAATGCTTTCTTCATACAAGTCAAGACTTCATTAGATAAAATGGAATCATTATTTAGATGGCGAAAGAAAAGAATTTATTGATGTGTAATAATTTTCTGTTTGAATGAAATAAATTGTTTCTTCATTTCCAATTGATTATCCATTTCTCGTGAATGCTCTATTCATCCCATATAATTGAAACTCTATTATTTAAATAAATATATAAATTTCAAACAAAAATATTATAGAATTTAGTAGGGAAATTTTAAATAACGAGTTTAATTTGTTCAATTTCTTAAAAGAATTTGAAGCCTCAAGCGTCTGTAGTTTATCAACGCACCAAGAGGCAATTATTGCGAATTTCAACCGTTTATTTTAGAAATATTTCCTATGTTCATAGAACTAGGTTCTATTCACATGGTAACAATGTCTATGGAAATGGCAGACATGTCTGTGTAACTTAGTAAACATTACCATGGGACATTGGAAGCGTTACTATAAAACAGAGTAAACATTATCATGCAATATAGTAAGGATTGCTATGCAGGGACAGTTGAAAACCCTTTTACTATGTTACCATAGTAATCTCGCCTATGGCCATGGTAATGTTTACTATTTAATTTTCGCCTCGTAGTTTTAGTACACGCGGAGAGCGCGTCCCTGCTAAAAATGTTATTATTCTCTATCAATTATTATCAATAATACTGATCAGAATCAATTTATCAATATATCACGGGAATGTCCTGCCAAAAATAGTTCAATTCTTTCCCATAAAAACAGTGAATATCAATGCATCGAAATCGTACCATTCGCGTCATCGATGAAAGTCGTCTATCATTAGTCTTAACTTGGAACATCTTTTTTTATATTTATATTTATATAAGGGGAGAGCGCAGGGTCTTGCCAGTGAAGAACAGAAAGTAATTATGAGATTGTTTCCGGTAATCATATCTAGAGTGTATTGAATAAAAAAAGATTGGGAGGGTGAGAAAGAAGATGGGATGGAGAAGGGAGCATTGTTCGAAAGCACCCTTTCATCGATACACTTGTACCCCAGTGGTTATACACGGTATTGAATAGACCCAGTCAACCAGACGGCAAAGGAGAAAAGAGGATATGCGGACACGGTGGATTGCTCTATATACATAGGAGTTGATGTGCCGGTCTACCCCACTACAAAACCTAACCGCACTATTGCTTCACTCACCCTATCAATTGTTAATACCAGGCTCTGGTTTGACGCCGGTAACCACAATTAAATTTTTTGGCTTCCAAATGAAAGCACCATGGATTGTGTCTATCATAGCACACGAATGGGAGATGAGATTCTATTTTTGAGAATATACTCCCCGGGTAAAATTTTCATCGGATTCAAGTAGGGTCCCCAGCGGGTCTATACTGAGCAAAAAACGTTGTTTTAAAATACACTGAAATACAATGAAAATACAATGAAATTAAACATTTCAAAAATCTAGCGGTATTGAGATTCGATCCGAGCTCCTTCTGATCCGTAGTCGGGTGCGCTGTCGACTGAGCCACCTGCAACGTCTTATGATATCGTACATTTTGTTTGGAAATATGAATAATACGGGGTGTGTGAACTCAGCCTTCCGTGTATTTATCAATGCACTTATTAGCAATTAATTCAATAATAACTCTGATATATTGATGGGTTAAAAATTAATTAATTAAATCTTTGTAATAGAGGATAATAATGATTATGTGATCTAACTATTTATAGGTAACTAACTTTCTCCTCCGTGTTTTCCTTCCCCACGTCCATGGCACCAAAAAACTGATGAAAAACTGATGCAGCGTTTCTAAGGTCAGGCAGCCTGAAATCACTTTAATCAGATTCGAAGTTTGTCACTCTGATGTCAATTTCAGCAGGGCGTCTTGAAATAAACAATATCTATTACGGATTTGATCATCCTGATCTCAATCTGAGCACGATGTTACCCACTTCAAGGGTCAGATGTTTCAAAAATCTCCACGAGGAAAATTTCAATAACTGAATAATGACATAAAGTGAGAATAATCAAAGTCATGCGAGTGGTCTTCATAGAAGAGTTTTTACAAATCTGTAAAGTTCTATATTTTCGGAAATATTCAACTTTGAAAAGAGACGTGTATTCACACATGGCTCTGCACTGATAGAATGATTCATTTATTCCAAACGAGATTCGTTAACTATTAACGAATGGTAGAGTTGAATATGACCAAATGAATATTCTTTAATAGTTAACGAATGGTTCACTTGAATGGCGAAAGTCAAGTCAAACAAGGCTTCTCAAATATAAATTCGTTAACTATTAACGAATGAACATTTGGTGGGACCGAATAGACCCTAACCTCCAACCAAAATCCATTCGTTAACAATAGCTAATACGTTCTATCAGTGTGTATGTGATGTGGACGTTGGTCTTAAGTGGCCATATGACTTCGACAGCGGTTACCGACCGAGTGAAAAATTTCAAATCAATTTTTTCTTAGGGTGAAACGATAATTATCAAAAAATCAAATTCTTACGCCCTTTATAACAATGTTATACAGGGTGTAAGAATTCGTATTTTCCAAAATAATCTTTTCACCCTAAGAAAAAATTAGTTTGAAATTTTTCACTCGGTCGGTAACCGCTGTCGAAGTCACATGGCCACTTAAGAGGTTAAATATATCTGAAAATTCTAGCGGAATGCGTATTAGTACCCCTCGCTCCCAGCCCTCTGGCACAAAGAAAATTTAAGGAAACAATTTCTTTTTTCCAAAAAATTATGTCAGAAATTTTCGGGTACTCATCCCTATAATTTTTCATATGCTACGTGATACTTTCCATACCCTATCAAGTCATTCAATTGAATTTAATCATTGGTCCTCTTCGAATTGTTTGGTTTTTTCAAATTTCAATATAAAATACCGAAATTCTGAAAAATTGCTTCAATGGGAAGGTAACGTCAAAAAATTAGTTGTAATGTCACACAATCATCTCCCTATCGATTATTCGAATAAATGAACATATTTATTGATTGAATTTAGCTGACCTCTAGTATATCTTAGCCTCAAGCCACCTACATGCCGCACCGATCGCTCAACCGAACGCCTAAATATGACCCTCGACGTCAACGTTGACTTTTATCTGCGTTGAATTCAGTCAAAGGGCAAATAATTGGGTTCAGTTCAAGACTTCGCAAGTTATTTGTGGATGTATTAACTCACCACTCTCTGCGTGTAGGCTCAAACAAATACTTTTTAACGACGTACTGCTCAGTAATATGGGATTTATCTTGCAGAACAGGTAATATTGCAAAATACGGAAGAATTTGCTTTGAATCATATAATTGGTTACATGCGCATGGTGAGTACGTGAAAGGAAAAGAGAAAAAAATCGTTTGGATGGGTCGGTACAGGGGTGCTGACCCTATTTTGGTAGTCAACGCACCTCTCGTCCAGCCCCCTCGAATCATCAGCCCCCGTTGGATCATTCTGTAGAGGAGGGCGACAAAAAAAGAAAAACTAATTGGTACGAGAAACACCGAGTAACAAATGCCTATTTTCACTCACCTGCTGCAATTGGCGAACACCCTTCAGTCCTGACTTTTCTGTGCCATTCCACCCACGCTTTAAGACTTCTTATGTTGCTCAAATTAGAAATAAATAAAATAAACTAAACTAAAAAGAATATAATAAATGAGAAAGAAATCACCTGACACTTATACACTCGTCGTCAGATTTATTTTGATGAGTAAGCATGAATGAATCGTCATATCGAATACTTCATTAATCCGTGCTGAGTATACTTGCATCAATGATTTCTATATAAATTCGGAAGAATGCTTGTATATCATCGAATAACAGCGCGTGCGCGGGATAAAGATAGCGAGGTACCTCGAGATATATCTTCTAAGAATAGTAGTAGAGTTGCCGACGAGATACAGAGCTAGTGAGAGTCAAGAGTATACCCAGTTGCACGTTAGCCAAAGAGTGAGGGAATAAAAAGAGGTCCAAGAAGAAGTGAAGTGGGTACTTCTCTAGGATGGGTAAACGTGTGATAGTACAGATCGAGATGTTGGGAAAATTGGAGAGGGAGTTAGGCCAGTCCCGCAGCCAATGAGAGAAAGATCGGGGCGCGCCCTCCACTCGACCCCACCCTCGGTAGTCATGGCAACTAGCGAACCGCGCGAAACCGACGAGGTCGAGCACGAAGCTGAGGTGGTGGGGGCAGCCAGGTCGGTGTCAGGGGTCGCCTCAGTCGGCAGTCGGTCTCTAGTCGGCCTTAAGAATAGTCGCGTGGAATTGTTCAAGGATCTTTGGTTCCTCTTAAACTGATCGCTTTTCCCTTGTGTATCCTAGACTCGAAATACGGTGAGCGCAACAGTGGATAAAAAGAAAAAAAAAATATAGTGATCTTTTTTCTTCCTTGTTACCTGTCTTGGCGATGGTCAGTTGTCATCAGCCGCAAGCTTCTTCGCTTCCACAGCTGCCAATATATAATTTATGCATCTTCAATCAAGGAAATTGCTTTCCCCCAATTATCTTTCATCATCGCCAAGTACCCAGCTATAGTTAAATTATAAATAATGAATCGATAACAAAATACAGTGCCGACGATTTTGAAGACACAATAATAAATAAAGTCCCGTGCAATTAATTAACCCTCGAGTGATGATTCCTGCGGAGTGGAGAACCAGAACTACTGGTATCCCCCTCTTTCTTCAAGGATAAGAAGAACAGGTGGTGCGTAATAGAAAACAGTGAAGTGAACATTTGTCAACGTAGGAATATTTTATTAGTCATTTTGTCACTTTATATAATTATCGATTGTTCAGTTACAGTGAAATTGAGGAAGAAAAATTGTCGACTTCGGTGATCGAGACTTTCTTTGAACAATTTTGTGTTTGGTGTGTGCGGACGCGCGCCCTCGTGCGCGCGCCCGATTACCTTCCTTCATCCGGAGAAGATAAATCTCGCGGTGGTATGAGATCGCGATAATGGACGTCATCGCCGTCCCCATCTCTGGCAATGTATCATTGTATGGAAAGCAGACGACTATCACGCATGGTTTTTTTATTCTTGGAATATTTGAGTTGGCATTAGAACATTTGTTATGCGTCACTTTCTGAATATTCCATAATTCTTAGAGAGTGTCGGTGCTAAGTTCCAATATCATCAGTATATCTAGTAGCTCACCTTTGAAAGGAAAAAAGCTACATCAAGTGACAGAACGAGTAGCACAACAGCAAAACAAATCGCTCGCAAGAAAGCAGTTAGAATTGAACCAGGGTGACAGATAAGGGAGTCAGAGTGGTTCGTGGGGGGTCAGGAGGTGCGGACGCCCTGGCGACCGCCGGGGTGGTGTATCCGCCCGCGACGGCGAGTTTGTTCCCTGGTCGTATACCAGCGGGACATCATCACCCGGAGCTCACCGGCACGTTGGAGCTGGGGTTCCCACCCCGTGGCACCACCGCCTCGATGGCGTTGGTAGCCCCGCCACCCTCGTGGACACCGCGGGATCCTGGATCCACGAGTCTAGTCGGTGGTGGTGGTAATCAAAACAGTAATCAAGGTGGTCCCGGTAGTAACAATCCTGGCGGCCCATTGCAAGTATGTCCGCCACCCATGCCCCCAACTCATCTTACACCATCAGCAACGCCTGAGGACATAACTTGTCTCGTGCCCGTGGGGGGTGTATTGACACCACGGGACCCACTACCACCCAGTACGACACCCGGCAGTCAAGCTAATAGCTCACAATCAGGCAGTTCACAGACGGACAAATCACCGAATATCGAGTGTGTCGTTTGTGGTGACAAGAGTAGCGGTAAACATTATGGACAATTTACCTGCGAAGGTAAGTCCAGTGAAAGTTATATTAAAGCACGTGTCCCTTGTGTCATTGCAATACGTGCAATTATTAATAATCCCCCGGGTAACAAAAAAGTCCCAGTGCAACTCAACAATTTGTCCAACTTTATTCATTCTCTCACTCTACCAAATATTTTTCGAGCTCTACAAGTGATCCTCTCATAGGAGCGAAGAGAAAACATCGGAGTTATCATTAATAACCCAGTGGGGTGTGTTCTCTGAAACACTTACACGTACGTTAGAAGGCTAATAACGATGTAACGGCCCTGGGAAACGAAGCGCGATGAGACCCACGGGCTATAAATGAGACACCCACTACTTCTGACTTCTCGTGCAAGTTTATATCACCTATTCACATGGTTCCAACATGATGTATTGCAAACGAGTCACGTTTAATGAATACGAGATACACGTGTACGCATTTACCGTTATCATGATCATTAAGATATTCATTCTCCTTCTCTATTTCAACTGGGTTCGAATTCCATTTCTGCGGATTCAATCAGATCCTTGTCTTCACCAAACTCCAACATTCCACAGATTCTTCAAACCCTCATTGCATTATTGAAGTGTTGAGACAAGGGTCGATGCTAAGAAACGAAGAGTAATCGCTTTTAGAGCATTTCAGTCAACATTTACCACCACCAGACCACAATTACACGAGATATACTGCCTCATGTTCAAGGGAAGGAACCGGAAATTAGAAGTTATATATACCCGATATTCCTTAACTTTTTGAGGAAGATTTCTGTAAAATTTTCAAAATCTGTCAGACGTCCATAAAAATTGGTGAACCTTCAATTGAATTTCCATGTCTATATCAGCTCAATCACAATTTTCATACAGTGTTATGCTTTTATGATGACATTTTTTATATAGCAATACTATCCAATGAATAATTAGTTAAGGTGAATATTCCAGGAACTGACTCTATTCCAGTATCCGCACTTTTTTTAGTCTTGCAATTTATTATTCGGTACCTCATATCGGCAATCTATGAATTTTTTTACCCATCACAAGTTATGATATTCTATTTGGATGTTCAACTACACTCTAAAAAAAGATTACTTCTGATAAGTAGGAAAACTACTTGTATTCAGTACCGAGGGGTCTCTGGAGAAAAGGTAATTTTTTTACTTGGTTCAAGTCAAAAATCGACTGAATACAAGTTTTATGCTCCACGTACAATTGGTACTGGTGACAAGTACCAACTGTACTCATCATCAGTACTAAAAGTACGCGTACCGAGTACCGAGCTGTACTTCTCAAAAGTAGAAAAAATCCTTGAGACAAGTAGTAATAGTACTCAAACCCAGTACTAATGGATTTTCGCGGAATATTACAGTAAGATTCATCATACACTGGAAATCGTTGAAAAACGAAGAATTAATGCAAATAAAATTATTGTTTATTGTTCGTTTGCCCCTCAAACGCTTGAAAATTGAAATATAATCCAGTGTAATAAATTCTCGAGCTATAGAGATTTTTTTTTCAAAATTTTTCAAAAGATGTGTAGAATAACAATTACCAATTAATTTTTCCAAATTTAATTTCCAACTAGTCATTTTTTTTAATAACAAAAAATGTAATATTCATGCGAAATAGCCAGCAAAATGATCTTCAAAATAATTGCTATATTTTATATTGAACAAAAAAATTAAAATATTAATCGTTTGAGCTATCTTGTGTGAAAATTGCAACTTCGTTATGCGACAAAGAATGAAATTGCCTATTTAGAAGTCGAATTAAAAAAAATTATCTCGTAATTGTTATTCTACACATCTGTTGAAAAATTTTGAAGAAAAAATACGTCCGTATTTTTCAAATTTTCATCGTCTCGGGAGCAAACAAACGATAAATTTTTTTTTCCACTAATTTTTCGTTTTTCAACATATATGATCGATTATCAATATATAATGAATCTCGTGAATATAATGAATCTCTGTGAGTTTTGGAAGTCGTGACTTCCAAAACTCATAGAAACCTTTCCTTGAGAATAAAATGAATAATAATAACAGATCATTGAAAAACGAAGGAAATTACAATTGAAGATTTTTAACACTGTGACGTTTATCGAAGAGGATAATTCTAGGAAGAATAATAAGAGGAAGTTCTAAGAACGAAAAAAAATAGTCCAAAAATAGTTGATGTAATCATTTATTTTCAAAATTAACAATAGCTGTTTTGAAAATTTATATTATATGACGAAGACCGACGGCCGTGGCTGTGTGTTTAGAGTATGGGATTGGCACGTGAGCGACCCGGGTTCGATATCCGGCTGGGGAGCCAAAATTTGTAACACTCTAATCTCACAGTTTCACTGTCGAGCGGGAGTCTTGTTAAAGGGACGACTGTGCCTGGGCAGGTTTTTCCCTCAAGTGAGGTTTTCCCTCGTCCTTCGGCGAATGCGGTACAGGGGATCGGGGGGTGGGAAGGAAACAAATCGTAAAAACCCGAAAGGGTATACGAGAGAAAATAATTTTTTATATGACGAAGAGCAATATAGTTCTTTGCATCAGTCGCTAAACGTACAATTGTGGGTACATGTGTGATTAAATTATTATAATTTATACATTGCCATGTTTGCGTTAACTTTACTTCATAGGCATTGACAACGGGATAAAATCGTTTTACAAAAAATTTTTTCAACAAGAAATGTACACTGAGTTCCTGCCAAAAGGAGAATGGAAACTATCTCACCAAAAACGGGAAATTCATCCCCGAGACCAATCATAACTACGGATCCGCGCGAGTATCGAGTGCCTAAAATTTCAACCGACGATATGACGGGGCATTCTTTAAGTTCTGAGGATAAAAGATGTTTGAACTCAGGGTAGCANTACTCTGAGTTTCTGCCAAAAGGAGAATGGAAACTATCTCACCAAAAACGGGAAATTCATCCCCGAGACCAATCACAACGACGGATCCGCGCGAGTATCGAGTGCCTGAAATTTCAACCGACGATGTGACGGGGTATTCTTTAAGTTCTGAGGATAAAAGATGTTTGAACTCAGCGTAGCATTTAAGGATAATCGGGCGAGCCCGGAGGGTTAGAAAAAAAGCAGCCATTTTTCTCTTTTATTTTTTTCGTATTCTTTAAATGATGGAAAAGGCGTGTGCAAAGTGTCAGACTGCTGGGGAACATGGTTAATTTATTATGAATTTTTGAAAAAGTGGTCATTTAACCCGTGATCTTATGGAAATCACAAAAAAAAACTGCAAAACCCAAGGAAAAAAAGCAGCCAAAGTCATGAAACTTTAGACACATTTAGAATATGTGATCAATGATTTTTTCAGTGAAAAAAATTGTCGCCTAGGAGCATTGTTTATTAATAATAGCGAAAAAAGTACTGAAAAATGAAATTTCTGCGCACGCAGCCCAAATGAGCAGCAACGTCTTAAGTACCGATCGGGTGGGGATAGCGCGGTCAATTTAAACGTCTCTTNAAGCCCAAATGAGCAGCAACGTCTCAAATACCGATCGGGTGGGAGTAGCGCGGTCAATTTAAACGTCTCTTGAGAGAGAGCGATGAAGCGTTGTGATTGGAGCTCCCTGGAACCAGTGGTACCAGCTCCTGGTGAAAAAAAAAATACTACCGACGATGTTGCCACTTTTTCGCATGGATTAGTATTTTTTCATTTATTAAAAAAAAAAATCTGAAAACCATTCAATGCATAGAACAGATACAAATAAATTTGATTAGCTCCAAAAATAATTTTTAACTGGAGATACTCCCTAATATTGCCTGAATTTTGAATCCGAATGGGAAAAATTTTTTTGTTCAGCGATTGGTTTTCTGCAGGAAAACAATAGAAACCCCTCCGCCTCACCTCCTACATTTCCTCCTCGCCCGATTATCCTTAAATGTCGAAAGGCGTGTTGATTTCCCCTTTTGAAATTGAAATTTCATTTTGTGTCTTCTGTGAGATCTTCTGTGGATCCTGTTTCACTAGTCTCAATTGTTGGTTCTTGTTCAGTCGTTTTTTCTCTTGATCGATCTTGGAGAGTAGTCTGATGATGATTTGGAAAATATGTTACGAAGGAAATTTGCTTTAATTTTAGCACCCGAATATTATTTTCTATGTCCAATTAATTTATCACTCTATTTTGATGACTAGAAGAATACTCACCTGACTCAATGTTTGGCTTAAACTTATGATTTTCGCCAGATCGTCTTCATCTGCATTCTGCACAACAAAGAAACGTCATAAAGAAGAATAATTCAGCAGTATTGTGGTGTCAATATAGAATCTTACATTTCCATGTGGTGATAGAGTAGCTGATGGAGCCTTATAAATAGAAAATTTCTTTTTAAATCTGAATCGAAGGCCTTTTGTCTCGATTAGTTCATCAATCTGCTTTTCCTCAAGATCCAAAAAAATTTCATCATCGATTTTTTCAGCTAGAAAATTGAATATTAGCTTATGAAATCAACAACATTTCCTTCCATCGTGAATGAGGTACAGAATAAATAATGGGTTATCTGTAAAAAATACTTACTGTGGAATAAATCGATTAATTCTTCGAGATCTGACTTCTTGAGGAAGTCGTCCACAACAATGTATGACTTTTCTCCCGGCGATGTCATTCAAGAGAATTTTTTTGTCAGAACAAAGAAACACTCCTAACGTACACTACACTTGATTATGACTAGACTGAAACGTGTTGGAACACGTTTGTTTACCAATAAATATGAATACCGCGGGGGGGAGGGAGCGATGGTGGACAATCGACCGGGGATACCCGTGGCGATTCGGAGAGAACGGAGCAGCGCAATTTCAGTCGGTATTGCAGATACTCCGGGGGACGATAAGCAATTTTTTTTCGTTTCTTCAACGATGATCTATGTTGAAGTTGTGAATTGTCGTGTTGAGTATATGGAATTGCATTTAATGCAAGACGCAGCGGCGACGTTAAAGAGAAAATGAAAAAATCCAGGAACTGATGGAAAAATCTATTTAAACATAAATTTTAGGTTCAATCAT